ACATACCATATTAGTATATAAACTCACGATGACCTGATTCTTTCCCCTCAACACACAGGAGTAAATGAAGAAGAGGAGAAGAAAAAAGCAAAAAGCAAAGAGAAAATCAAGTTGAAAAAAAAAAGGAAAAGGTATTAAAAAAATTGTTTTTTGAAAACCAGGACTGTGAGTCCAGGATGGATTATAAAATTTTATTTTTCATGTTATAGTACAGTTAGTTTATATTAATTTTAATGAAAGTTAGATGTTTAATTGTTTCAGTAAAAGAACAAAATCCTTCATGTTAGGATTCAAAAATAAAGTCAGCCCTCAGCCACCTTAAATTATCTTTTTTGGAGCAAATCAAGGTAAAAATAAATAACAGGCCCACCCCCTTTTTTATGGATTCTATTTGTATTCTAGAATTTTTAAGTTTTAAGACATCAGTTTTTAATTGAACATAAGTCCAAATTCTTCACATATGTATTTTGTTCTCATATATATGAAGTTGAAACTTAAATATTTGTATTCTCAAAATATCATTGCCATGGCTTAGACATTGATTTATTAGTAGGATTTATGTGCTCATTGGTCATGCTAAGAATTCCTTCGGATCTTTCAGAATTTTCACCAGCCACCTATGAATTTTTACTATGAATTCTTTTAACAACTGGTTAAAGAAATTGATCAAAAAACTTAAAGAGGCAACTTCTTCCATAGTTAGTGAGTACACTTTGGTTCATACTAAAATAAACATGTACATATAGACAATTTTTAAGGTGCTTAGCAGGTAGGAATGTCTAGCTTAGACCTTGATTCTCTGACAGAGTGTGTTCTGCAAATCAGGGGTTGTCACTTTGTAGTTTTTATAGAGCATGTGATATATGCAAACACCCCAGCTACTTTATAAATTGGAAAAATTAGCTCACTTTCAGATGTTGGGAGTTAAATAATAATGCTTAATGTAAAAACTAACATAGGAAGGTAGAGCTCAGTGCAATCTGACTGGTGTGTTGTTGAATCATTTGTACTAGCCCAGCAAGATGGATTGCTTACAGGAAAAGTGAGATTTTCTATTTTCTTCCAAATTCTAATATACTTGTTGTGTAGTAACGTATTGGTTATTCAAACCTCTCTACCTTGGGCCTCACAGACCACGGGTAGGGCCCGAAATTAAAAGACCTTTTTTTTTCTAAGTGCACTTAGAAAGATAATGCCACCAAATGTGGTTGCTGTGCCAAAGTGTAACATTCTGCCTTAAAAAAGAGAATCCAGGTCCAAAAAGCCAAAGAAAAAAGTGCAGGCAGAGAAGCAGCTCTGGTCAGAATGCAGAGTTCAAGCAGGTCTTTAAAACAGGAAAGCACACTAGAATTGAGAACAACAGAGTTGAAGAAGGTGCGAAAGAATGCAAGAGAAGATAAGCTTAGGAAATGGGGGAGTCTAAGTAAGTAGACAAGGAAGAGGAAGGAGTACAATGTTACAGCAACAGGGCAAACTCAGAGTCCCCGACCAAGAAAGGCAGCCAGGAAATTCACACAATGAATCACTCTGCAGACACAACCTCTCAGTCTCATGTGGTTCCTTTTTCTTCTCCTGTAGATCTCTGCCAGGTTTCCTTAGCTTGGATTTTAACTTATAATGTTTAAATCACTGAACTATCTCTTGGGAAGCCTTTTTTTTTGTTGTTTTAAATTAACTCAGTTTCTGTTTTGTCACACATGTTTGGGGTTTGGGTATTGGTAGAATGTTGGACACCTTTTTATAAAAGATCTTAAGAGTTGGTGTTCTTTGTTCTTTTTCATTAGAGGAAGGAATTCTACAGATTTTTTTTCCTAATTTAATATTAGAGTAACATAAGAAAAATAAAGTATAATGATAAGTCATCCTTATTTATATAGAGGATACATTTAAAAACATCCTTTCTCTAACTAGTGGAAATTATTTTAGAATGCAGATGTTCATCTGTATCACTCTCCATCTAAAAGAATCAAGTGCTTTAACTTGAAAAATAAAAAAAAAGAACAAAAGTGCTCTTATTTTGTTGATTTTCAGCTTTCATCCATTTCTATGGAGGTACAATTATAGCCCTTTTTATATAATTGCATTCTTTGTGTCTAAAAGAATTTGCTAAGAAGTCATACATACACAAGTGAATTGTGTATATAAAGAGGGTTGGTAAATGCCACTTTCTTTGCCTTATAAGAAAGATTTTGAAGGGTACACAGGATGAAAAACAAAAAAATCACACAAAAATTACTTCATCCTTACTGAACTGAAAACCAATAACTAGAAATGAGCAGAATAGAGACAATTGTTTTATTAGTTTCTCTGGCTAAGTGGCTAAAATTCTGAATACAGTATTTTAAGAGAATACAAATATATAAAGCACATTTTATTTGCGTTTCTTTATGTTTATACCCTCTCCCTTGCTCCAAGAAGGATTTAAGGCAGTTCAAATCCCATTTAAATTTCCCCATCAGCCATAAATACAGTTATCAGTCAGTATGTATTATTGCCCGTAGGTCTTACTCATCCAGTTCCACTGAAGAGGACACTTCAAAACAAAAGAAACAAAAATATCAGAAGAAAGAAAAGAAAAAAGAGAAGAAGAATAAGTCAAAAAAGGGGAAACATCACAAAAAGGACAAAAAGAAGAGAAAAAAGGAAAAGCATTCTTCTGCCCCTAATAGTTCTGAAATCTCCAAAAAGTAACTGAGACTTTGGCCTAAGCCATTACATTTAAAAATTTGGTTTCAAAAATTATTTTACCTTCCTTGAAATTTGCTATATAATTATGCTTTGCAATAAATCACAGCCTTTTCCATGTAGACATTTTTTCATATATGGGACCATTTTTGTCTGCCAATATTTTGATACGTTATGATTATAAAGTGCTGAATCAGTCTTACTACTTGATAGCCATGCCCCAAATATGAATAGTTGTGCAACAAAACTCACCAGTTTTGGTGTTTGTGTCTGTGTCTAGTGTTACTACTTTGTCAGTTGATTGTAAACGGCTTTCCTACAGTCAACACAGGTAATCTACCTAACAGTTAATGAATATTGCTGAATTAAGTATCCACCTTCCAGTGATAAAGTGAGGTAGCGGATTATGCTTTGCTCTTGACACTGAAAAATTTAACAGCTTTATATCCTATGATAATGTACAAAGATAGTGAAATTCTTCACTGCTGTTTTTAAATCAGGCTTTTTTTGGGAAGTCATAGGAGATGAAGCTGCTTTATTGGTCTTGACCAGAACTTTTTAAATGAATGGTGTCGGGCAGGAAGATGATAATGAAAATATTTATAACAAAATTTCACTGTTTCCTGAAATGCAGAGTTTCTAATACCTGCCTCCTTTGTTTTTGTAACAAAATATTTCTTCCTTGTTTAAAATTACAAGCCTAGTACAGCCTATTTGTAAGTCTCACAGAGATGATACTGTGTTGGGCAAGATTTTTAGGATAGACTCCTGGGTGTTTTTACAAATGTGCCATATTGGCACGTCTTAAAGAGATACCTCAAACACAGAACTTTTTATTTAGAAGGGTGACAGCTAAATCTTCATTAGAATTGATTTTTTATTTTAATCAGTATGTAAATTTTATGAAGCTTGTTTCTATGAGTAATGTGGAAAATTTTTATAAATGTAAACATATATATATTTATTTGTCTGAAATAGTTTGTAGTTTTGAAGCAGGTTTCCACTGAATTTATGATTCCGTAAATGACCAGTTTGGGGTGTTTCTCTCTTTTACTTCAATCATAAACCTCAGGAGTAGTGACAAAAATTTAGGATTAAGATTTTTATTCTGTACTTTTTAAAATTTTAAGAGCCAGGGAGTTACATCATGAAAGCCTTTATATAGCAATGGAAATTTTGTATGAGTAAGCATTTTCAAACACGTATTAGCAGATATAAATGTTTCTACATTTTTAATTTCACAATGATCAATGTTACTTACTTTGCTTAGTACTTGGGTATCCCTTATGTCGAATAGTTAAATACTTACTGTTGTAGCAGCATCAAAAGTCAACTGGTTATCATGGCACAGCACCAAAGATTGTAAGTACCTCACTCTGGTGCAGGTATAAAATCTCAAATTGGTGACCTACAGACGTGGCTGTAGGTGACGTCATTATGATGAAATCAGGTGAGTACACACAACCTCACAGGCTGGAAAGGTGTACTGATTACTTCCTTCACCCAGCATCCCTACCTGGCGTGACCTCAGTGAGACTGGGAGAGCCTCATAACTCCTCTTAACATACGCTTTCCATGCTCAGATTCTAGGGAAGATACATCCACGTCTGTATCGTAGTATTACAGCCATGGAAGCTCTCACGCTTCTAGCTTTTCCGAAACAACTCAGTCCTGTGGCCTCCTTAGAAGTCCTTTTGTTTAAATAGCTCAGTCAGCTGTTTGGAGAGAAACACAGAGCTCTAGGTTCTTAAGGGTAATTTTTGCCTCTGCTGTAGTTGATGTATTTTGGGGAACTGGATTTTATGAAAATATAATTCTTTGGTTATCAGGATGAAATTAGTAAAAATAAGTTTTTAAAAAAACTTTAAAAAATGATTATAAAATGCTAATACATGCAAAAAGATGGTCTTACCCTATTGAGTGTGTAACATGATTAAAAATGATCATTGTAGTGACACAATTAATCCAGTTATATGTAAGTTTTACTTCTGTTAATTTAGAGGTAATAAATTTGCTCATCCAATTTGTTTTCTGAATGGTGACACAATCAATGACTCAGAGTCATGTAAAATTCAGCCTTCATTAACCAATATAGTATGCAAATTAAAAGATTTTAATGCTCAGTAATTTTTCCCCCCTGGAAAGCATCTTGGAATTATTGAGTAAATTTCCTATAGCATGATAATAGTTTATGAAAGATCTTGTCTGAATAAAAGTCATTTATTTTTACTAAAGTAATTGTCTTCTAAAGTGATCTTGTTATTATTGTTGGGATTGGATGCAGATCTCAATATTATAGGAGAAAATTAGTGGCATTTCCTCTCAGGCAGTTTATAGCAGAAGGAAAACTGAACTGAATAGTAAAAATCCAAAAGTTCTGGTCGTTCTAACTACCTGTGTGACCTTCAGCAAAGTCATTGACCTTCTCTGGGCCTTGATGTCTTTCATCCATAAAATATCGTACCAAATTACCTCTGAGATCCCTTCTAGCCCTGTATTTACAACTCACTCTGCCAAAAATTATATAGCCCTAGGTTGCCTTCAATTAAACTAGATTAAAGAGTTATTAGTAATAGTCTTGTTAAATGCCACTGAGTCCTTTCCTGAGCAAACATTTATGGAGTGGCTGGCATGGCAAACAGTGTGTTAAGTACCAGGGATACAAAGATAATAAGACACATTTGCTTCCCTGAAAAGAATTCGCAGTTTCGTTGGTAGGAGAAACAGCAGAACTCATCATTACATGTTAAGCACAGTACTTGTGTTTATAGAAACACTGAGGGGTCCCTAACCTAGTCCAGAGAAGTTAGAAAAGGCTACCTAGAAAAAGTATTACCTGAAGTGCATTTTGATAGAGGATGAGTGGGAGTTACAGCAATTCCAGACAGAATGAGGGCTGTGAACAAAGCCCACAGTAGAAAAACGAGTGGGGGCAGGAGGGGATGTCGAGAATTACAAGCATGTGTGAGGCAGGAAGTGGTAAGAATTGAGACCACCACTCTAGGTTCTTAGGTCCCAGAGAAGGAAGGTTTATGTTCCATGTTTGGGAGCTTGGACTTTATCTGTAAGGAAGAGACACCATTAAGAGAGTTTTAAGGAAAGAGATGATTTGTTAGGGTTGGTTTCATCCATTTCATAATCCAATTCTGCAGTTTTTAAAGGATGAAATTGCTCTCATTAGAAGGCCACATAGAAAGTAATTTGAACCTTTTGTATTCTATTATTTGGTCTCTTCATCTAGACCCTCTTTTCTTTCTAAGATCTGATCATTTCTAAAAATTACAGCGACTGAAGTCTTCGAAAAAGCTCCTGTAGTCTTTATCAGACCCGTTCCCAGAATTATATGCGTATGTACGCAATTTGAAACGTGTTTGCTTTTAATTTTATTCTAGGTTATTTTTGACTGACTTAAAATATATTCTGTGCTATATTAGTATTTTCAGTCCAAATAAATCATTTAAAATATATTTTTCAATGCACAGACTGTCATAATTTGATAAGGCTTCAATATTTTGTCTCTATATTAGGAATATTACGAAGCACAACTGCTTCACAGTCACAGAGACACATATCAGCTGGTCCACCAGATGAGCCCTGTCGCTCTCCCTCAGATAACCTGGCTCAGCAGGGAGTGCTCCAAGGACCCCAACTGATGTTTGTACTGAGATTCAGTTTTCCTGGGCAGATGGCATCCAAGAACGGTAGGGTTTTTTTATGTCAGCTTGACGATAATTTCACTTGCAAAGCCCAGGGTCTTCAGACTACATTTGTATCCTCCCAATTCCTCCAAAACTTTGCAGAGTGCCAGAGAATTGGGTTGCCTCTCCCAGAAGCACAACGCATGGTGCATCCAGCCCTGCCCAGCCCTACTTCGCCTGTCCCACCAGTTAGGAAGAGTCTGGGGGACTAGGAGCATTTTGCTGGCCCCGAGTCTCTAAGTTTCCTGCTTCTTGTATCATTTATGGCATCTGCTCTTGCCCTTGAGCAGCAAGAGTAGACTGTGCCAGTGCCTTAACTAAATTCTGCCAGCCTAGATTTTCACCAGAGGTAACATCTCATTAGTAAGAATTATTAATATGTGTATCAAGGTAGCCAATTTTCTGGAATTGATTTGTTTTTCATCAAAGCTGTATAAAAGATCAAGCACCCACAAATGCTTTATGTGATTTTTCACAAAAATAAATAAAAATTCTTTGCTTTTATAATCACATAAAATGTCATTTTTGTAATGGAAATGTTTTAACCTTCAGACTTCACACACCGAGAAATTTTAATATTTAAACATTGGCAAAACTGTGGTCTTTTTGAATGTGAAATCCAACACAGGCAGAAGGATGTTGCAATAATGATCTGGAACTATGTTGTCAATTTAGTCACATGTGGCTAATTAAACTTAGATTGTTTAAGTGAAAATGTATTTCTTCAGTTGCACTAGCCACATTTCAAGTGTCCAGTAGCCACAGGTGGCTAGTGGCTACTGTGTCACAGCACAGATACAGAAAGAACATTTCCATCATCACAGAAACTCCTACTGGACAGTACTAGAATCTTCAGTTCTTGGTAAAAACTTTGACAGCTTGATGATCAAAAGTTTCTAACCCTGAGCTTTGCATGCCTGAGAGCAATAAGACATAGCTTTTTTTTCTCCCCTCAGCTGACCAGAAAAGCTGTATTTGGCACATTTTGAAAGGCTAGTCTTCCAGCTACAGAAATTGTACAACACGGTAGATGTGTTAAGGAGAGCCAGCTTAAAATTAATCCTTTTTTCCTGCTGAATTCCATTATAAGATCAGGTCTGTGTTGCTATAGCAGAATCACATTTGTGAATAAAAATCTTTTAAAACAATTATAATTTGCAAACACTGTAGTTTACTTCTAGAGGTCTAAGATATTACTGCAGTAGCTTAGATGGGACTGGAGAACTTACTTGGTTTATAAATTTCATCATAGAGATTCCTTAGGAACTTTATCAGTGAACGATTTTTGTTATGGTTATCCTTTGGTATGCAGAAAGTATCTATCATGCAGATTATACATTATATGTTTTGTTATTGAATGTTAGCTTTCATAAAGGCAATAATATAATTTGTGTGCTAAGCAAGTCCTCTAAAAAAGGCATGGGTTGACTTCTAAGAGACTTAACAACGTGCCTTAAGAAACTTCTGGTTTATAAGGCCACCCACCCTGAGATTTACCTGAGATTTATCCAGTACCATCCCATCTCTTCTAAAAAATAACTGCCTCTAAGTATGAAAAACTTGTGAAATTCTAGTAATGTGATATAATTTCATTGTTCCTCACTGACATAGGTTTGCTTATCTGTTATTGATAAATTCTATGGTTTCTCTTGAAGTATTAGTATAGTTTCTTAATTAGCAAATAAAAGTAAACTTACGCACATGGAAATCTATCAGAAACGTTAGTGGGTGTTTAATAAATGAATTGATCAAAACTGCAGCTGTATCTTGCTTTGTGAGTGGCGAGTTTTTGACAAGTATTATTACAAACTGTATTTGAAATGCACTCTTTATTGCTTCATCTCTCCAGCGAGCTTTTACAACACGGGATTTTTAATAATAAGCAATGTCGCTTTGTGTCATATCCATTGTTTTTTCTTGAACGATATCATCAGCTACATACAATGTTTCATTTATTGAATTTGATGCTGCATTTGAATTGAAGACTTTGGTTTTTCTGTTTGAGTTGCCTGCAGATACACAAAACAAAATGAAATTAATTATTTGAAATTATGACATCAAATTTTATGTTAAAATTTGTTCTTAAAAGATAAATTTTGTGGGAGTATTGGAAATATGGTGTCCTGAAAACACTGTGGATGAGTGAGAATTGAATCATTTCAAAGTTGTTTTTGAGCATTTCCTCCTGAAAATCAAACAGAAGTCAGGATATCATTTCATGCTTACCTTTTTTCACACTTCCATGAAAGAAACTATACATTTGATAAGAAGGTTACAGTTTCTGTGTTGCTTAATAAAAATGTGACTGTCCCTATGCACAAAGTGAACGAAACTAAAGTCAATCGTAATAATTTGCAACAATCTTAAGGCTTTGCCATTATAATCAATTTAGATGTAACTTCAAAAGAGCGTGTTTGTTCCACCACCCCATTCACTCATTCTATATTAACGAGTCCAAAATGCACAGGGGAAAAGGAATGTGAATCCTTGCTCATCAGAAGGTAAACTAACAAGCTCATAGCAAAGAAACAGACTATTACTGAATGGTGTTAGAAAAATTAGGTGTGAAAATAATATATTTCACCAATATATACATATTTAAATATATTTGAATAATATATAAATATGTAAATATAGCACAAGAAATCATAAATGTTACTAATAAACTCCTGTTGCTAAGTCCACAGTCCAGCTCACAATCCACACCTTCCTCGGCCTATCAGAGGCCTGTTTTCCCTTGGCTTCCGGGATGCCACCCTTCCTCGATTCACCATCTCTCTTTCTTGGTCTCTCTCTCTCTTGTTGGTCCCTATTCCTCTCCTGGGCATTTTAGGCTTAGGAGTGCCTGAGGGCTCAGCCATTAGTTCTTGTCGCTGGCTCTCTCCCTAATTATCTCATTAGTCCCACAGTTTTTAATACCATCTCTGTGCTGATGACTCCCAGATGCATATCTCTGACCCACATTCTCCTAAACTCCAGGTTCAACTTCCTAGTTGCCATCTCCACTGTGATATCTAATAGACATCTCCAACTTTGTCCAAAACTGATATTTGGATCATTCCCAGAAAAAAAAAAAAGCCTACTCATACCACTCGTTGCCCCACATTTTAAACAAGATTATCTTTAATATTAGCCCAGAGAACAATATCATGCATTTTTCAGTCCTATAGGCAAGATCTGGGAGCTGTAGTGAGACATCCTTCGCAACAGATAAATAATATTGCCTGTTGAGTGCTGATGATGGGAGTGTAAACTGGTACATTTATTTTAAGTCTGAAGTGTTCCTACCTTGTGATTTTAACATGAAGTACCAAGGAAACCATAGAAGGTAAGATCTAAAATGTATATATAAAAATACTTGCTGGTTATTTCAATATAAAAAATGTGAGTACCTTTCATATTTTTAATAAGGAAACTGCTAAATTATCGTGCATCAAGTATCATGCAGCCATTTAATTTGAAAAAGCGGTTTCCAAGAAATTTTTAATTATGTTCAAAGTGCTCAGAATACAATGTTAAGTGGGAAAGGATGCAAAACTATCAGCAGTACAATCACAGCTGATACTGAAACAGCACTTACTGTGAGCTTCTCTCTACTTAAAATCCTTAGGAGTGAATCTGAATTTCTTGGTTAGGCTGAGGATCAGCCCTACTTCCCTCTCCCAGCTCAGCTTACCGCCATCCCCCCCGTCATACTGAAACCCTGACAGGCTCCCCACACGTGCCCTGCTCTCTCTCGCTGGCTTTCTCTCTCTGCCCTAAACCTTTGCACACTTCCAGCTGCCTAACTCTCTAATCATCTTTGTTTGAATAACGCTTACCTGTCCTTTAGGTTTTAGAACATCTCCAAACCTACCAAAGGGGAAGGGGGACGCACTGGCCAAGAGGTTCCACTATTAGAAGTAGCTTTCCTCTACTTTTTAACGTCTAGTCTATCTTCATTATAATTTTTTCACTTCTTTCCTTTAGGTAAGTCTAAGCCCTCACCTTTAAGTGTGTTCATACTGCCTGGCTTTGCCCATTTGTAAGTAATCATATAGGCTGCTTTCCAGGCCAGTCAGGACATCCCCCACTACAGGTTGATTTCATAGATCAACACTCAAAGGGCAATTATTATTTACAAGTTGTGAAGGGCAATGTCTCACTACTGCTCCCAGATCTTACCCACAGGACTGAAATATGTGTTGTTTGTTCTCTGGGCTAATGCTAAAAATATGTTTTAAATGTAGGGCCTAGAGCAGTACAGTACATGTCTTTATTTCATTACTTGTCTTCTAAACTTTTTTGGTAAAATAATGTTCTGCTTCTAAACATTCACTCATAATGTTTCAACCATATAGTTTGAGTTTGAAAAGTTAATTTGCTGTAAGCAAAACATTTTCTAGCCTGACAAGTAGCCCTTTGCCCAATCAGCAAGCAAAACTGTTTAAGATAAATGCAGTAGGAAAAGATGGCATGAAAATTTGATGATCTGATAAATTCTTGACTGTTATTTGCAAAGCAAACTTTAAGAAATACAGTAGATTCAGGGGGGAGGATATAGCTCAAGTGGTAAGAGTGCATGCTTAGCATGCATGAGGTCCTGGGTTCAATCCCCAGTATCTCCTCTAAGAATAAATCAATGAATAAACCTAAATACCTACCCCCACCAAAAAAAAAAAAAAAGAATACAGTAGATTCAAATTCAACTGCTAAGTAAGGTGTGGAATATATACATGGGGGCCTTGAAACCATCTTCCTTATATAGCATTTGAAAAAACTGTAGGTTTATTTTTACTTGTTTAGCATTGTTTTTACTCTTCAGTCTCATAGCAGGTAAAGGTAAAAGATCAAGAATTTAAGATACAAATTAATTTCATATTATCTGGATGCAATTTGTATCTTATATAAGCACTTCCTTTTTTTTTAAATTGAAGTATAGTTGATTTGTATTATATTAGTTCCAGGCCATACAACATAGTGATTCAATATTTTTATAGATTATACTCCGTTTAAACTTACTATAAAATATTAGCTATATACCCTATACTGTACAATGCATCCTTGTATCTTATTTATTTTATACATAGTAGTTTATGCCTCTTAATCCCCTACCCCTATCTTGCCCCTCCAACATTTCCTTAAACATCTAAAATTTTAACATTTTATTCAAATTCCTTGAAGTCTGAAGATGTCATGTTGGCTAATTCAAATCTGTCATGTTTCCTAAGCTTTGTACATATTTAAATTTATAATATTCTAATGAGAGTTTCAAGGTAGTTTTTCTGCCTCATCACATACAGAGTTTTTTGTTTTGTCTTTTTTTAATGGAAATTAAACTCAAGAGGTTACTTCCTAACTTAGTTTGGGGTTCTCTCAAAGAACCCCTTGGCCTGGGGTTCTCTCCATTCTGACAGCTCCAATTTCTACTGTGTATTTTTCTGTCAACAACTGAAAGAGTTTATCTAACCTGTCTGCTGCCTTTTGAGATGTACAGGCTCACAAAACACATTCCAGTATTATACATTTTCCTTCATCTAAGACTTGTAAACTCCCCCACTCCCCAGCTACACGACCGAGAAAAGATTTGATATAAACAGTACACTGCCGTCACTTGAAGCAGGAGCTCTGATTAGCAAGTTAACATCCTGATGTTCATTCTCTCTCTCCCTGCAGCTGATGAAAATCCAAAGATGCTTTCAATATATACGTCTCTGGTAAGTTAGAATAGTTGGACACGTTATGGAAAAACCAAGTGCAGCAAGTGGGGCTGCACTGCCTTGGCATCAGAGTCCCACTAACTGCATCCCTTTGGAATGATTTTAAAAGAGAAAAGAGGAAAAATCTCAGCAACCTCAGGCTCTCCTAATTTTCCTTTAATAAACAGAAACTAACTTCTTAACCAGCAACGTAGAGATAAAACCAGCTGCCTCTTCTGTCACAAGGTTACACCATGGATCCAATTTTAAGTAAGAAATGTGTAATACTACTAAGCTCTCAAGGGGTTTGTTACACATGGAGGGTTTTTCTTATTTAATTTCTCCTTTCCTTTACCCGAGAACAGACTGCAAAGGGCCAACATCACTGTGCTTTCCTGGGTGAACATTAGTAGCTCTTTCTGCTGCTCGCGTTCCACTTTTCCCTTTTTTTTTTTTTTTTTTTTGGTCTAGTCATACTACGTAAATCTCAACCTTCTTTTAATCCTATACCTTTCAGACTGGCATTTAAATTAAAGCTTTGGCCTCTCCAAAATTGAAATCCAATTCACTAAACCAATCAAATTCACCCTTTAAAGCAAATTCATCAAACTCTTTCCACCTACCCTCATCACAAACTAGGCCAATATATTTTTTCTGATAATAGTTAAATTTTGCATTCATTTTCAGGGATCCATTTATCCTATAACTCATCTTTGAACTCTGCTCTTGCCTGACATTTCAAAATATCAACAGAACGCTGGGGCCGCTCGCTGCAGGACTTCGTCTCCTGGCTGGCAGGCAAGGACGATAATCAAGCTTTTCTGCTATTATCTGCCTGGGTCTTCCCGGCCTCTGCATCACCATTCTGCAGTCCTACAGCTGTTCCAAGGACTAGTCAGCTAGCTCGCTTTACTATTTAGTAGAAAAGCTACACACCCCACTCATCCTGCATTTCCTTCTAGTGGAGGCACAAAATTTTCCATTTGCACCCTAAGAAAGTGTTTTTTATTTACAAGGGGACATGCTCCCATCGAATTCAATATGATGCACAGGACAGGATCTGAGGTAAATGGTGACGTGAGCAAAACTTGCTCAGTGACCTACTGATCAAGTGACCACCCCTTCTTCCATGCCCTGCCACCCCGTTGAGAATATATAAGTATCTTATGTAAATACAGCTAAAAATTCATTGTGAAAGTTAGAATCTTAGACTTGCCCTTTTGCTTTGCCCATCAATCAATGAATGAAGACAGTTCTATCCAGAAATTTTCTAAAAGAAAATCTATTTTTGTCCACAGTTGGACCTTTTTTCTTTTCTGCGTTGTTAAACT